CGCCCGTCGATCTTCAACGGCGTTGCAAGTATTGTGTTCAATTCAATTAATAATAGGATCGAGTGTCTAAGTATTTTTATATACAGAATGATGCAAAAAAAGGTTTCATAACTTGTAGGGTAGATAGTATTCGCCAAATGATGAAAAAAGGTTTTGGTAAATATGGGTCGAAAAATTCATATCTTCAGAGTTATAAAGAATTATTTCTTTCAGTTAAAGCGACTGGATTACCTTATTATTTCTTCTTTTCCTAGTTACAGAAGGTTTTCGACAATTTTTATTAATTTTTTTTACAATTTTCTTCATTGTTTCACATAAGTACCGGTAGCTCCCGAAGCAAGAAAGTGACTCACTTTAACCGAAACGAAAAATTGTGTATAACATTGAAAATATTAATTTTTCGACCCATGTTTATCAGCACTTTTATTCATCATTTGATTAGTACTACAGACTACTTTCGATTACCGTCACGAACTCGGGTCCGCGCCCAAATAATGGGGATGGACAATAATCGTGTATAACAAGCCAGACGTTAATCAAGAAGAGTCTGTATCTAGAAGTTATGAACCCTTTTTTCGTATCGCCCCTGTATACGTATATCTGCTTCGTTATAATTTCTCGTAAACTGACGATCATCGTACAGGGTGGTCCAATAGGTACGCAAAGGAGGCCATTACGTTCGAAAAAAGAGATAGTAAAAGCAACCTTCGCGTGTGTAATTTTTCCATAGAAATGTTTCTTCTGTGATCGCGATGTTCAAGTTAGTTATAATTAAGTGATTATTTATGGTGGTCGTTGGACCATCCTGTACGTACAGCTACTACTCGTGTGTAAGATAAAATCTGTGCCAATACGAATTGGAAAACGATGGATTATCGTCGACGAAGTGGGTAATTAACACTGTCGGCAAATTATGGGAATAATAAAGTCGCTTCCGTGGAGGCTGGAAAAAACGACTGTTTCGAAAGAGAAATTTTCATTCGTGGAAATCATCTGCATCCGCTGGCGAGTGCGCTCGGACTTAGAATCCACCGAGGTCGAGACGATGGTAACGCGGATACATATGTAAACGAGTCACTGTTCGTTAACTGGTAGAAAGTGGAGTCACTCCGTGGAAAAACCTCGCGGCTACTTGAAGATCGTGGGGGGAGGGGCCAGATCCTTTATTTTTTTTCCATCGCTTTCCACACAGTCCGACAGGCGCGGAAAATTTGACGCGAGCTACTGTCGGGCAGACTGTAGACACTCGTGCTTAGACAATTTTGCGAAAAAACATAGATGTCACCAATGGTAAGATTGAAAATTTTCGATTGTCAAAATTATCGGATACTAGGATCACGAAATTGGAAATTACTATAACCAACAGTTGAGATCGATTCTACTACAAATAGATATGATGGTTTAATACTATGTACTAAGTAAAAATTATTGGAGGTCACTAATTTGGTTGAAAATTTAAAAATTTTTAAATTCAAAGATGAATAGGATCGTCAGACAAGATTCGAATTCAGTAATTTCCCTAATTAATTTCTGAATTCTTTTCACAACCGGTGGAACAAATAGCATTCGACGTAAGCCTGTACTCAATAAAAGAGATTGTATAAAAAGTTCCAACAGACGACTTCCCCTCTAATTTATGCCGTGACGAGATCGTGAGCGTTAGAATTATTCCACCAGTTAATTAATAACGTATCCGAGATGTTATCGGGCAGTCTGGTTACGGTAGGAAGAAAAAAACTTCGCCATCCGGGGGCAATGAGGTTAGCTGGAAGTATATTTCTTCAACGACGCTAATGCCCGATCACAATGACTCGTTAGCGGCTGATCATACCGAACGAATGTCTTAACGAGGCGAAGAAAGCATCCCTACGGTTCTTGTGTCTCCGGCCAAGGTTTCCCGTCTGTGGAAATAATTAAGCGAAATGGGAAAAAGATCGAGATCGCGGAGGCGGAAGGAAGGCATGGGGGCTACCCCAGAAGAATTAAATTGAGACATCAACAGAATCGTTTTGTAACCCTTTCAAGTGTATTCATCCTTTATTATTTCGCTACCGTCGCCAGTAGACTTTCATTTTAATTAATTAGAGCTTTCAGTTTGATGATACAGGGAATTTATTTGGTCTATGAATGAATGAGACAGAAATATGATTTGAATGTCTTTGATGGATGTTGGGGGTTATGTCGTCTATGTATATTCGTCACGGCCAAAATCAATACACAGCGGAAATAACGGAAATGTTCCAAGTGTGAAAATTTGTTCAAATAAAGAATTTCCAAATTTCTGTAATTCTTTGGAAATAAGATCTATACCTGTACGAAAAATTCATGCTACCGTGGATTGCACTTTCAGTGATGGACAATAACGTTCAACACTTTGACTGTCACGTCACCCAAATATAGGTGACATGTACATTGCAAAGAGGCTGGATTATTTAAATACCATCATACAATTTTTGACGTAGAATTAATATCGTACTATAATTTAACAGAAGACTTACAACCTATATAAATTAGAGGCACCTATTTTCCACGATTTATGACTTAAAAAACGAAATAAAGTGTGTCTGGCTACGTACGGACTATTTCACTGGGGCAGTGAATGTGTTAAGGGGTTAAGAAAATATTATTATTACGAATATATTTAACTGCATCTACTAATAGATAGTAAAATATCGATGTCTTTGAGTCAGATGGTGTAACACTATGTTTTTCACTGCAAGAAGAACGGATTCTTCGTAAAGAGTGAAAAATGAGAAAAACGTGACTTTGCTGGCTGAATAATAAGTGTCGGTGGTGTTGTGCGCTGAGTGTTTACTACGTATACATTGTTAATTAATCACGTATTCAAGAGCCGCAATACGGTCTGTCGAGCAGATTTACTTTATTTCATCGATCGCTATCTCCTGGCTCCTCTTGCTCGTAATTTTGTCCGAGGCTCACGATGTGTTTGTTTCTTCTTTTCAACACACTCTACACTCTCATGTATTCTAATTAAGTACCAGTTTTTCTCGCGGATGATGTGTGCGAAACTGGCAGCGGTTTAGCGCAATTAACAATTCCCGCGATCGTTGCTTCGCTATCATTGATATTTCCTTTCAGGTGAAGGGAATACTACAAACCAGCGATGGTAACGGTTTCTATATGGTTAGTTTTGTGATTTTAACACTAGCACTACCAATGTTAAATGCATACTAAATTAAATTGTATAATCAACTGAAAGTGAACATAAATTACGACACTTATGTCAGCACCTTTATGATTTCAGTGAAACAAAAAATTTGAAGTCTAATAAACCATTTGAACATTACCCTACCAGTGATAATGATAAATATTTGTTCTAAACGTGACAGTTTAGTATGACACTGATAATGCATAAGTAAATCTGAAATTTTGGTAATGATAAAGGAGTAACTGTATTAGTAATACGTAGAAAGAAAAAATATTAGACAACATTAACCTGTAAATGTTTTATTAAGGAGTATTCATAAGTAGGTTTCGATGCGATGGAAACATTGATTTTTAATTTCAGTGTAAGGAAATGTGTATAAGTATATAGATTTCCTTCGGGGATAATAAAATTCATATTATTTTCTTTTCTCGTGTTCTTTGTCATTCAATCCACTTTGTAACGTTTTCCGCACGACAGACGCGAAAAAACGTGTCGATTAACATAAAATGTGTTTGTTGATCTGCGTACGGTAACAAGGGACCTTGTAACCTTTAATCGTCCCGTCGTTTCTCATGTTTGTGTGCAACGGGATCCCTATTGTAAATACGTTGACCATTTATAATGGGAAAGATCTTTGAATGGAACTGCGAAACAGTCCCTGAGAAATTCAATGTGTGTCTCGAAGTTCTCCGTGGTCGTTGGAAATTCAATGGTTTACGGGAAAATAGGGTCTCCCCCTTCATGAAAATCAATTAGCCGCCGCGCGAAACACCCGGGACTAAATGAGACGAAGGGAAAACGTATCCTTTGTCTTGTAATTTGTGTCAACTTTCCCTGACCGGTAAATTTAACGTGGATTCCATGAAAACCATTACTTTAATACCGAATAAACTCTAGTGTCGAAAAATTAATATTAATAAAATCGTATCAATATTTTGATATTCTTCTATATGAAAGTAATGAAGATCAACCCTTTAATCACTTCAATACCGTAAAACATGTCTTATTGATTCAATGCAAACTAAATTTATTTTATTAACTTAGTTGTAATAGTATAAATAATTATTAAAATCATAATATAATTAATGAAAGTTCAATTATATCAAATATTATAAGTTATTATATCTTGAGGTCACTGGTCATCGAGATTAAAAAAGTCACGAAGTTCAAAGGGCTAATATTGTAATTACGAGACACCCGGTATGCAAGAACGCCGAATTTCCAGCATTAACGGTGAAACGCGCCGTGGCACTGACTGTTAATTGCTTCGTTATTTTGCCGAGTAAAGCGAGATATATTGACAATATTCGGAACCCTCTGTCAGAGATAGTATTATTCCATTAGAACGCCATTGTGCGGCCCAAAGCGGTTTCGTTTGCTTCGAAAGGATAAACCGAGCTGTGTAGCTAGAACGCGTCTTGAATGAAATACAATTCCTGCTAGACGTCTTTGGAAATCTTGTTTCATATAACTCTTTAAGCCATTTTTGATTCTCTAACTACAATTTTATGTTCTATTCATAGTAGATTGATAGAAAATAAATGTTCAATCTATATTCGTACTTTACTATAAAAAGAAGTATTTCTGAAAATTCACTATAATTCTGCAAAACCTTTTATGTAATATTTAACATCGCCGTTCATAGTAATCTGAATGTTATTCAAATAATAATTTATTTTGCATCACTTAGAATCTTGACTTTCAATCGAGGAATAATAAATAAAATTATTCGAGATTTTTTATCTAGATGTTCACCTTTAACTATCAGTTGCCATACAATCATGAACGAATATTATCAAATGATTAAAGAACGTTTTATAAAATGACTTACCAATGATTCCTTGAAGATCTTGTTGGCGATGATACTAGTGCTCTCGAACATGTCCTTTCCAGGACCAGACGCAAAGCACATTTCTTTCTTTCCAGAACAGGTGTACTGTTCCGAGCAATTCTTTCCCGAATATTCACATTTTGGACCGCGAGTGTTAGGTGAAACGTCGCCCAGATTGGTAGAAGCGAAGGCTGCCACGAATGGTCCCTAATTTTCACAAATGTTTAATTAGTAAAACCTTTAATTGAAGATTACACTTTAAGAAACACATTACTACACATTTATAAAAACCGGACACTCATCAAGTTCAAAATGTACCTACATACATTTTTTTAAGTACAGTTCTCATTTTAAAATCATTCAGTATTCAGACGATCATTACACTCGTAAAAATCGATGAGCGACTAATAACTCCAATCATTTGCAGGTTTTAATACTCTTTACTGTGGATATAACACGTGTTTTAAAATTAAAAAACCTCTAAAATATTGAAAATTAAGTGAAATACAAACCGCCAATAGTTTCTCCTTTTAAAGTGTGTACGTGTTATATTCATAGTACAGATCTGTAAAATGTACAAATGACGTGAGCTATTTTTTAATCCCACCCGAAACAAATCCTTCATTTTGTTTCATGTGTTCCCTTAAATTAAAAAAATATGCTACGATTTACCAGAGTTTTATTCAAACTTTTTTACTCATCTAGATTAGAAAAGGGTCTGAAGAAAAGCTTCAGACCCTCATAAACTCGTTTTTTCCCTGAAGCCCGAGCCTCGACAAGAAAATCGAAGGGGCAAGAAAGTATGTTCTTGAAAGGTTCCACCCCCCCCCCTCCAGTGGTGGGGATAACGCCTGGACAATAATCGTGTAGTACAAGCCAGACGATAATCGAGAGTAGTCTGTACGTCTATGTGATAGATTGAAAGACTCACCTTGCCAATCAAATTGTCTTTGTTCATCGTTTTCTCGAAAAGAATCGAGGCATAGCCAACGTTATCACTGGATACCAGATGATTCGTGTTGTTCATGCTGGTGGGATGTACCGGGAACCAATTGATGACACCCAGCGGTTTGTTGTCTGCTCCGATAAACTGGATCTGCGTCAAAGTCTTGTCCACATCGTACTTATACCTGGCGAGGGCAAGTTTAATTGAGTTCACGACGAAAGTATAGAGTGTCTAACTTGACTGAACATCGTTGGTCACCTGTCTCTTTCGGCTTTCGGATTATTCAGGTACGCGAACGGACTCCTGTTTATATTTGCATCTAGCACTTCCCCATTGGTGATGAAGATTCGACCTGGCACGACAGCGTTGTGGGCTCGTTCGATACTCTGGAATGTTTATCATTGAAATTTACAAGAAGAAAATTACATGTTTTGGAATAAACGATGTCAGTCTGTTACCCTTCTAAAAAGGGAACTATTCTCTTAAACGACACATTGCAAAGCGTAAGTGTTTCTTTAAGAAGAAAGTTTTTCAGCATATTTTCACTTAACATTTGAAAATTTAAGTTTTGTCGTTAAATAGTCTATATTTTGTCTTTTCTAAAGAAATAGTGTAAGTAATGATTAGACTACGTATTTTAAGGATTGATTGACAATATAAAGGTGCAAAACGCAGTACCGTTAAAATTTTCATAAAGATTAGTATAAATGTTCCTTTCCCTTGAACTTAACAAAACCCTTTAGTAAAAAGGAAACAAATTTCCAAAACAAATTTTTAAGCTGTAAAAATCTGAATTTGCATACAAATTCGCGATTTAGTCAAGTAGAAATGCAGCAAAGGATACAATATTGGAAATTACTTTCCATGAATAAATTAGTAACGACAAACTGAGTCAATAGTATTGCAGGTGTGGGATCGTAGAGTAATTTATCATTTTCGTTTAATTGATTCTACTATTGATTATCTTATTAACGTGTTTGATTTCTCTGTTGACATGGTCCACAAGATAATCACCTTCACTATGCCCGTGACCATCGCGTCGAACGTCTCCTTAACGAATCCGAAGGTGGTGATGTCGAACAACATGTCCAACATAAATCCACCAGGGGTGGAATGCGAGTGTGTCCCGCTGATCATCACGTTCTTCTCTGTGTACATGCTGCCGAATTGCGTTTGAAGTTTCTCCAGCACCTGTGATAACAGCGAACGGCAAATGAATTATCTACAACAACACAAGAATGACTAACTTTCCGGCCGCAGAGTGATAACAATTCATTTAAATGGCAAATAAATCGATAGAACCCAACGGCCTCCAGGTCGATTCACTGCCTACGATCGTACACGTGTGTTTGATCTCTTATTAGGTGACTAAGAAATGAAACGATCACAACGATTTTCGATTGAAAGAGTTCAATTAAACCACGATATACATCATGTTAATTAAAATACATGAAACATATGAAAGTGTACAGATTTCATTTTTCTTCTGAAACTAATATTTATGAACTACATTTAAAAATCTACTTTGCACATTGGTACTGTATATAATTGTTCAATTATTCATTAAATTAAATTACAGTTGAGTTATATTTACTGAATTGTGTTATTTTAGTTTGAGTGCGTTCTAAAAAAAAAAACTGTGAATAATGTTGCACTCTAAAGTTAAATCTTTTCGAGAAAGTAATCTGAGTCGTTAAAAGTATCGTTGTTTAAGTATTCCGAAACTGTTGGCATCTAATTTTCGTAATTGGCTTCGCAATATTAATTTTCGATACTTTAACACCTAGGTAAAGACAGCGCAAATATTGATATTAAATATTTTTGAAAGGTTAGTAGAATAGTAGAAAGGAATAATCAACGAGTAAATGGTATGGAAAAAAATTCTGAATCGAAGAATAAAAGATTATGATAAAAAAAGAAAGGAAAGAATTACCGCTTCCCGAATGCCATTTCCTATCATCGCGCTATCCACGTTGACGAAGACGAACCTCTCCTCGCCATCATCTATGATGAACGCGCGGGAGAATGTTCGTAGATGGAGTCCTGATCCCTTCTGATCGATTTTCGCGTAACCCATCTGAAAAACAAACAATCCTTTCGAGATGTCGCTTGGAATAAAAGCTGTGATTCTGGCTACACTTTTCCACTCTCTTTCTCTATATACAACATATGTGTACAGGGTGTCTCAACGGATTTTGACATCTTCATTTTCTTGCTATTGTTCTCGTAACAAAAACACAAAAAGTCATTAAATACAAAGTTTAAAATAATGACAAGGTATACTTTTAAATAATAATTGTTTCACGTGAATTCTATTCTTCTACGGTGTGAAATAGTACATCTTCAGTAAAGTAAATTGAGCGTATCATGATTCCCGCGAGCCTAAATTCAGGAGAGAATCCACCCTTTTTGGTTAAGAGCCAGAAGTTTTTTGATTTTGTACTAATTAATACCATTTTTATTACAATAATACACTCATATACTACGAAAAAATATAAATAATTCTAAACTTTTCTTATGGAAAATCAATAAAAATACATGAAAATGAAGTGTGGCGTCTCTCCTAAATTTACCCTAATCGCAATTCCTCTAACGATGCCGTAGTGAAAAAGTTGAAAAATAGGAATTCGATAATTCAAAATAAGAAAAACTCACAAAAACAACTTCGGCGGTGGGTCCAGTGGTGTCAGCCCTGCCTACCCCGATGCTGTACGAGGCGATCGCACCAGGAAATGCAACGGCTAGCAGCCATAGCGAGATCAATCCAAGGATCTGCAGGCGCTTGATATCTGGTTTCTCCATTCAGCTTTCTGAGCCGCTCCAGTCTGATCGAGCTGAAATGAAAGAATCAACTGTGTCACCCGTTCCCGGTTCCCACGGTTTTTAGTATCATTCCCGATTCGTCGCTGATAAGAGATTGGAAATTCTGTCGCGGAGAATTCTCACTCTTTCTCTTTCATTTCTCCCTCCTCATGCCTATAACGCGGTGAACTTGACACGATTGGGCAGTGCATCACATGTTCATCGTCGATGTTTACGATCGTTCGAACGATGAAATCGAACGACTTATCGTTCGCGAGTATTGCCTGCCAGATGATTTGCTTATTATCAGAAGGGGAAGAAAATCAACGTTCTTAGGGAAGATTACTTGTCGAAATTAATAGGCAATAGAAAGAAGTGTGGTAGAATTGTAAATGGGTGTGTGTGTGACGAGGGAAAATGTGGTTTGAATAGTTAAGGTAGTAACGTAGAAGTCAGGAGCTTGTAAATCAAGTCCAATTTCATAATCATGACGGTGAAATAAATAGAATTATGATTACTGTTTTATTACTTATCGAAATTACAATTACAACTCAGATGAGCAAACGTAACTGGTAACGTTTTATGTAATTCGAGTACGACAAGATGACAGACGCGACAATAATTCCTTCTGTTTGATTAAAACGAATGACGATGATACATGATATATCTTCGGTTGATGTACGACAAGAGACAGGTGAAACTTTTGTTCGACATTTTTCGATCGCGCCCAGGGATTCGAAACCGATGGAGAATTTATGGTGTTGGGCCGTATGGATTTGTTGTACGGGATTAGGGTGGCACCTTAGAACCTTCGAGTGAGGACCGGAATATGCGACTGTTGGAGAATGGATACCGCACGGTGGTTATTGAACGAGGTTTAATAATAATATTATAGGGTTTCATAAGAATAATTACTATTTTAAAAAATAGTTCCATAGTTTATCTATAAAAATAGATGGTTATCTTGTTAGATATATTTTATAGACTACAATAGATCTGTCGATCCTTAATCTTGCCTCTTAGACTCCGAATCTTTTCCCAGGTGGTTTAAACAGAATTAAATAAAGAGTGGTTAATACAAATATTGATTAACGTCTATTCTATTTAATTACTCAAAGCCGAGTGATCCATCTTTAACCCTAGAACGACACTGTAATATCGCCGGAGTTCCTACGAAGTAAAGAAAGCATATCGAACGTAGACCCTTTTCGCATACACTTCGCAATAACTTTTATATTTTGATTACCTTTCTTTGAATGAAAACAATGTGTTGCAGTTATTTTTTCTTAAGATATCTAAAGAAGAATATCATTTCATTATTATCCTACTATTGATTATATTTATAAAATGTTGAATGTGTGATTTAATGGCGCCGATGATCGATGACCACAACGTGCACTCAACTAGTTAAGTAATACACTTTAAATAATTCCTCTCGCTGTACATTATGTACACGCGGCCGTTACTGTCAATATCAATCTAATAACAATGAAAAATGAAAATTGTTTTGACGTGTGAACGTCAGAAAAAGAAATAAATCCACGTGTCCGATACTTTGTGTATTTAATAACGATAGTCGTTCGAGGGACTAAAAGCATACTCTTGTTGCATAATCGCAGCACTCGGTCTGTGAGATAGGCGAAATTCTTCGAGAACGTGACTCAACCAAGTTTCCTCGCTCGTTGTACAAACTTTCCCGTCACTTTTGAAAATTCCGATACGAACAGCCCAAGGTTATAAAACGACTTTCGACAGGTATTACGGGTCGGTTGGTATGTGCTAGAGTAAGAATGCCTATTAGATGTTTCATGGACCACGCCTTCTGCGCTTTTTCCCGTCTGCAGATGGAACAAACAGGATCGTGAAAGTGTATACATATAATGCATCGGCGTAACAGAGTAACGAGTGCAACTGACAGCCATGTGTCTTTTCTGTTGGCCCATAAAATCGGTCTCGAACAACTGAATGGACTGGATATGGTGTTTATTACTCACGTAATCATATATACACTACTGCTTAAATGTATTCGAACGCGACAGAAAATTTAGTTCCATTTATTGTCTAGCGATGCAACGGAACTGTTAATTTAGAAATAGAAAACTATATTATGATCAATGAGCCATCATCTATTTATGAACTTTATGACTGATCGAACTCTGATCCTCCTTACTTCATTGCATTGGGTACTTCTGTCACTTGTTACATACAGGGTGAGTCAATGAGACCTATTGTTGTATCAAAAAACGTTTTAATGAAATATGTAGCATATTATGGGAGGCATCGGTTGAATATAATTTGATTTTTTTATGTCTTATCTTTTTTCAGATATCAAGGTGATCTTGAGTTTTTTCAAGGTCAATTTATCTTCTTTTTAATACCATCATAGTATAGGTTGTTGAATTCGTCCTTCCATTAACAACAACGTGGTATTTAAAGAAAAGATACATTGATCTTGAAACAATTTAAGGGCACCTTGATATTTCAAAATACATAAGATATAAAAAAAAAATCAAATTAGATCCATCCGATGCGTCCCTTAAAATGTTTTCTGACATATAAAATCTTATTTCTTACTTGATATTAGTGATTTATTTTATGAACTGATTTCCTTCGTAAGTTCGTTTATTCGTATCGATATGAAACAAGGTCATGGTTCGTTCTAATAGACGCGACCATCCGTAACACTTTCCGTTGTAACTGTACTAGAAGGCGGGATAACGAACGTCCGAAATCGTTGTGACGTTTGTCTGAAATCATTTTCACGTAAGCAGACCGTAACGTGATCGGATTACGTGTCCGATGGATTCATGGTAGACAAAGCGGGCCCGTTCACGTGACACCACCTGCAGCTCGTACAGTGTCATTTGTCAGCGGGAATGTTCATTGTTCGGAGGCACTGCGTGATTCTGACACGAAATTAGACGCCCCCATCCGCTCAATGCACTTTGTAGAATCCTCATTTCTCCGACTAATGGAAGCTTTGTAAAAGAAGTTATCTGAAGCTATGTAAAATGAATTTACATCTTAAAAGCCTCTAATCTACTATCGTAATAGGCGTGTTAAGAATACGTAGCAATATTTAAAAAATTCTAATCTTAACAGCTAGAAAAAATTCGTGTTTACTATTATTTTAGAAAAATGAAAACTGCCGAAAACTTTGTGCAGTCAATTGAGAAATTTTCTAAGTTAAACATCGAAATGGAAAATTCATTACGTTCTGGTCGAAGCTGTTTCGTTGCGATTCATGCACTTATTACATCATGTAAGTAGATAAAATCTCGTTCATTACGTATTGTACATCAGATTTATGCAATATTTACTTCATGCATTTTTTCGTATTTTCAAGTTGCACCAGAGTTATTCAGGCAATACGAGCGCAACGTATAACGCCGCAATTATACGTTCGACACTGTAAACAATTCCAAACTATATACGCAGCTATTCTTTCCCTCACCATCTCTTAATCCACTGTACTGAATTAATCATTCATAAAGAAATCAGTACTCTCATACAACGTAACCATTGTTAACGTTCATTTTAATAAAACGATTACTCTCGTCGAAAAATTAATTTATCATGATTCGAAAGTAATTTGTCACGTCGGAATAAAGTAATTCACGGAGATGCACTCACCAAAAAACAAAGCTTCGCCGCGGAACAACAAGATTCCCGGACACGACCGTTTTCTTAGCGTTATTTCCTTATCGCGGGCGATTAAGGCTAATCTTCTCGCTCGAACAATTATTCAGAAACTGCGCTACACTTCCTGCAGACTGATTCATCGTTTTAACTTCACGCTTTTCATGACCGTGTTCGTCATCCGTGGTCCGCGGACCGAGCCATCAAAACAAGTCGATCCCGTGCAACATGGCCGCCTGGATACAGACAGAAACGCCGCAGCATCCAGCTGTCAGCTTTCACTTGGTTACGTCTCGAGCCGTGAGGCAATCGACGTTTAAGTTTCGATCGACAGACTCCAGAGAATCCACCTTGCTGACCCAGTGCACCACCTTTCGCTCGTAGATCGAGGAACAATCGCGATCTCAAGTCCGTGCGCGCTGGATGAGCCAAGTCGGATCTTCCTGCGAACCTCTGGAGGAAATCAAAAGTCGACGATTACTCGTTCTGATGTCGATTTTTATCGTTCCCCATTGAGGTGGGCGGATTATTTGGTGTTATTTAGAAATCGAATTGATCTGTGTGTATAAGCATTTGATCTTTTGCGAGATTGAATTTATTGGTGATCGAGAACTTGGTTAGATATACCTTAGGGAGATTTTGTGATCGATTTTTGAAAACTATTAGAAAGAAATTCTTCTTTGTTTTTCTCTCTAGCGTCCTATTAATATGGTTGTTGTCGCTAGATTCGATTAAACAGTGGTTCAATTATGCTATTCTCTCGAGAACCTGAATCATCTGCAAATAGAAAGCTATGGCTATTACATGCTTGGTAGACACTGTAACACAGTTTTCAACGCGTCGAGGTTTCCCTGCGCGTTTAGAAAGATTAAAAAACACGAATTATTAACCTATTTCAAAGAGACTTCAATTCAATGTAACTCTGAATCTGATATGATATTGCAACTGAAGAATTTAGAAAATTGTAATTTATATGTTAATTGCACATTTGTACATAGCAAAACGATTACAGTATTACAGTAACTATTTCATGTGGGATTCAAGTAACGGAATAATTTGTGAATCGAAACACTGAACACGTGGAACGTATATAGGGAGGCGAAACAATAACAAAAGAAATTCCAAATTTCTTCTAAGGTGAAACAACAGACAAAGAAACAGACTCTTCGATCTACCACAAAAGAAATAACGTCACCGTGTGCCCATGTCGTCATCCAAATTCCAAGAATCCACTTCATCGATCCCATGATCCATTAACCAGCAATTAATCACAACAGAACCAATAGTTATTCCAACGAACAGAATCAAGAGACCAGTGTCCGTTAAATTTGTCCCACACAACAAAACCTGTAACGTCACGATTATGTAAAATAAGTTTTATTTATGTAATCAGCAGTTCGAAGCGGAGCCGAGGATATCGTCGCAGAACCATCGTTATCTTCCACCATGGATAACGTGCAAGCACACTGTGGGTATACACATGTCGCTCAAATATTAGCGGACCTTGTAGTACACACTTTTCAACACAATCACAAATGCCATTGAACAAACAGAAGAAAAATACTCGATTATCAACCACACGATGACGATCATCGATCAACGATAAACGAGAAGAAAGAAACAGCAAACGTGCGATCATCGATAAGAAAGAAAAAAAAGACGTCTACGCACTTTTCAACACAACCACAAATATCATTGAACAAACAGAAGAAAAATACTCGATTATCAAGTACACGATGGCGATCATCGACAAGAAAGAAAAAACAAAACGTCTACACTGGTCCCGACACGGTATAAACGGCAGATTGTACCTACTCACTCCCGTGTCAGAGCTCCAAACTCATGATCGCCAGTGTCGCGGGATGAATGATCGAGAGTTGGATCGTCACTACGGAGGGAGAGGATGGAACAACGTGAAACAGCTGGTCAGCTCGAGCTGACAGACCTTCACCGACCAAGACAACGCTGTCTCCTCGAGCATCAAAAACATACACTTCGGACTATAAGCGTGGCTCGAGAAGGGGAAAAACGGAAACTAACCTACAGTTGTTCTATCGTGCTGTATTGTCTCGCTCTGTCACCGCTACATAGTCTACGTACATATATACCGCTCCGTTTCTTTTCCTTTTCTTTCTTTTTTTTTCTGTTCGTTTCTTTCTGTCGTACACGCTCGTTGGGGATTCATAGACCCGTACAATGACTCGTCGCGCGGCTACTATTGTACTTAGCCGAGCATCGTGTTTAGAGATTGATGATTATGGGTTTAAAGAGATTTATTTCTTTAAGTGTAGTAAGTTGGACGTAGTTTACTGAAGACTACTGGGATTGAGATTAATTGTTTAGCTTCTGTTGTAAGAACTGAGTGAATTCTGAGTTGTATTGTTATATTGACGGGGAACAAATAGCCCATGGTTTTAGAAGTCCTTAGAACGTTGATATTTTATTATTAGTGTTAAGTAGCCTGATGGCAAATAGGGAAAGTTATGTTAAATATGATACTAGTAAGCTGGTAGAATAAATGAAAGTTGTCAACAATTTCAATATAAGTTATGACAGTCTGTTGATTTTCCTCCGAATTTATTTTCATTGAAAATATTTTGATACATTTCAGTAAATGAATGATTGGATGATGTAGTAAAGATTTTAATAAATGCCCCGAAGTTTATCAGATTTTGTGAAAGCCTGAAACAGTAAAAAAAATTGGAAATACACAAGCTAGTTTGCCTATAAAGTGTGACAAGATATGTTTGCTTACGAAGGGTTAATTTAAGGAGGTCAAAAATGATATAAAACGAACTATGTTTTACTGTTTGTAAGTATTATACGATAAGCAAAAAATATAATACGAAGAAGTATTTACTTCACTGATTTGATCCTCTATTAGTAAGGTCAGGGTCGTATCCGACCCAAGTTATAGTTCCTCTTATTCTATCCCGACTCTATATTTTATTATACTCGTTTTACAATATTTTGAAGTAGTAAGTTAAATTGAAAATATTGAATAGTTAATGAAACTCTTGCCAGAGGAAGAATATGTTTGTACAAAAAGTTCGTTCGCCTAAATACGTATACACAAGTGTGACTGTAAATGAACGTCTTAATTACAAATTAACATAGAACTACCGACGATGAACGTATATTTATTTTTGTCAGATCGATAATCATGTCAACCTTTAGAAAATATATAAATTCTTAATTCTCAAATTAATTCTTCTTGAATTAGCTAATTTTTTCGTTTTTATCTTGTAATGAATGTAGTGAAAGATCTGAGAACATGTATTGTTGTAACATTTGAATCACCCTTACAACAATCTACTAACCAGTCATTTTGGCTGCTTTGGTAATTCCAGTGTAAATCTATCAACGTGTGATCCAACAATGATCATTTCATAATCACCAGGGTTCATATAAAGCATTAACCTGTCGTCCGAATTATGCAACTCGATTCTTTCACCAGAGAAATCTTTAAAAAAAAAAAAGCTAAAATAGGACATCATAGGTATGCAAATAAAAGAAAAAACACACACAGGTGCTCTGCCCCCGGTTCGCCTTGGCTCACATACAGCCTCGAGCATTGTCCCCTAAAGCGAAATTTACAATTCCGATGCACTTCTTCTTCCCTTCAGCAAAACCAACCATTTCACCTTCGTAGATCTCGTGATCACGCAATCTGTCGTCTATTTTATGTCACAAATATCACGAAGACTTTTTCAGAATATATTCCTAAGTCACTGAAACTTCGTTAATCACTCACCGAGGTCATTAGAGGCCGTCGCGTTGCGAAAACGAACGAGCATCGGTCGTCTTTGGTTTTTGGATCGTTCCCGTTGCGTGGGGACCGGTTCTCATCGTAATCGTGGCCACTTTCCACTCGAGAAACTTACGACACTTTGTATCCCACAGTTCAGTCATTCCACCGGCTACGTTCGACGACAATCGTTATCATGTCCGATTTCCCTCGCACCGAATCCAATCAGCCTAGGACCCTCGTCGAAGGAAGCTGGAACGGGGCATCGGAAAGTATCCACGCGATTCATCATTCCTGGAAGACAAAAGGGAACGGTCCTCCTCGTCCTTGGCACGAGGTGGACCTCCCAGGATCGTGGTAGTACTCGGTCGATTTTACGAGGATACGTTGGCTAACAACGAAAAGCACTCGGTCGCCTCGGTATCGTTCGTACTTCGATAGCCTTGAAAGTTTCCTGTTACTGGGCCACGTTTGATTAGCATGGCACAATTACCGCCGGAACTGTGCGATTGAACGGAGAATCGGACACGTTTTTTGCGACGAACGAGGGTAACGAATCGTTCTTGATTTTGATTACTTTTTTTTGATCGATTGAAGATAGAAAACGAAAGGATGATACTTCAAGACGACGACGTGGTTTTAGGAGGAGCTGGTTTAGTTAACGTTAGAACACCGACTGTCACTTTCGTCGATTGCCGACCGAGCGGAGCCGAGCACTTGCACAGGAGAAAGTAAAAGAGAACTTGAAGTTGCGCAATGAATCAACGTTACAGCGGCTGAAATGATTTTTACATAATAAGAACTAGCTGTGGTTGGTTTGCGTTTTGCTACCTTGGAAATGATAACATTGAACGGCGATTAGGTGACTGTGTAGGTCGATTGTTCGATTTAACTGATGGGGTAATAAAAATAGAATGGGTTATTGGCATTTCTTGAATAGAAATCGTCTTATTACTATTTGATTGTTGAAGCGAGTATTTCGAACTCCACGAGATACACTTTTTTAATGGCTATCACGTGTGGCCTTGCGTGACTTCTCGACATGTTGTGCGAATATGCACCTGTTCTATTTAATTTGCACAGGTGAATGAATGTATTTAAATAATTTCGTGTGTCCAAGATAACAAATATTTTCAAGCTACTTTTGTGTGACTTGTAAAAAATATAACAGCCTTGTATATCATAAAGATATTTACCACATTAATTACAGTGGATGAACAAGTTATTAGAGCTACATTATAAAAAATATGAGTTTTCTTATATTTGTGTAGAAATAAGAATACAATTTCAAGGTTTTTACAGTGGGTAATTTTCACCTAACAATTGCCCATTAAAAAGACACGAAAATATTAAACATAGCTTATGTAATTATAAAAAATACAGTTAAAATCGTAAAATCATCAATTTATGCAAGTATTTAGTTCTAATAATTTGATCACCCAAAGTGCAATGTTGTTTTTTTCAAAAGAAGTCTTAATATTTTTTTGTTTATTCGTGTAAGGGAATGAAAATGTGTTTTCTTCGGATTTTGGCAGTTAACTGACTGACATTAAATATTTTCCACCCGATTAAATCCGTTTGTTCGATTATTCGAGGTTCGACCTGTTTTTACGAGGAAAGTTTGTTCAGTTCTCGATAAGTTTCGATTGATCAATGTCTGCTCCAAATTAAGCCCTATAATTCATACTAATAGAAACGAACATTCGTGACACCGCCTAATTAACGAAACTACAAATATTGAAACACGATCGAAGATACTTTTCTCATCGAATCATGTACATGTATCAACTCAATGAATTTCTGGTACATTAAAAGCGGTGAATGAAGTGAAACGCGTTAAACTTGAACGGAGAAAGGAGACTTGAATATTAACACATTCGTAGAGATAAGTAAACGATCATCCATTGGTTCTGTTTTATCGTTATCAAGGACTTATTTCATCGAAGAGATACATGTAATATTTAAAAGAATATTGTCAGATAAACACAAGAAACTTAAAAAGAATTCATTAAGAAAGTTACAAAATTTTGCTTTAAATGTGAATAATTCATAATGTTAAGTATGGCACAATTTTCGAATATTTTCATGTTTATGCAGATTAAAGAACTGATAGCATCGAGCAAGAATTTCTTTTATTGTCGAGTATAATGTGCTAGTTTCGCGGATTCCTGGATCTGTATGCGCAAAATTAACGACAGGTCGATGATACTCGGGATCCTATTACGCATAAAATGTGGCGAAAATGCAAAGCGTTTCCACGTGTTGACCTGTTCTGTTGAAAAGTGTACACAGCGTTTTAACTGCGTGTAAGCACATATTGTACTTCGTGGAAGGGGATATTTCACAATAAATGGAAACCAGTAAAATCACTGTTTGTAAAACCAGTAAAATGGTAGCTTTATAAAGAAAAAAAGAATTTTTTTCACTGTGAAAAATATCTACTTGAAAAATTCATGAAAATTCAGCGAATTAAAATGTCCAAAAAATGATGTGGTACATAATAGATAATTTTATAAGGAATAATATGTCTAAATTTGAAGTTAATCGAATAAATAGTTTCGGGTATCTGCTGGATGCCACCTGACGAGGTTTTCCCAGACTCGACGATATACAATATTGAATAATTCTCGCATTTTGTAATTTCAAATAATAACTACTTCACTGAGAAAAAAGTTAAAACGTTGTCCAACGTCCCTTAAAAAGATTCCAATCTTTTACTCAATAATCAATTGGAAACACAATTTATAAATTCCCCCATGTTTTTTCAGCCTACAAGGTAATGTACCCCGTAAATATTTTAAAGTGTAACACCTTTGTCGTGTATAAACAAAGTGAACCATTCCCTTAACGAAACTCCTACCCCAAAAGGCAACAAATGCTGCTGATTGTTTCCGCAAAAATTCACAAGTTCACGTGCAGGATGCACACTCACTTTCGAGGAAATGCTCGATGCGTCTCAAAGGGTCATTCACAGTCATCGCGATGATGAAATCCACCGAGGCCGATTTTCTTCGGTATTGCTGACACGCTCGATGCGAAGCACGAAGCAAGTCTATCGAATTCCGGGGTTATTTCACGTCGGCGACGTCCACTGCACGGACCACTGACGGGGACAAGTTTTCTGGGATAACGTGAGTACTATCTTCGTCGTTACTTCGAGGGACTACTGTACTGGAAACGAAATCGTAGATGAAGTGAAAATTAGTATTTCCAAAAAAAGAAAAATGTTCGCAGGTGTGGAACGAGTAACCAGTTAAAATCTGGGTTAGGTGAATATTTTTGAAACACCAAAGTTCTGTTCATTGGAAGTTGGGGTATAGAGCTGGAGATCCAATGATTTTTAGATTTTTTTTTGTATAAAACTGTAGTGGCTAAATAACTAAATTGGAAAATTTATTGTACAAATTTTAATTTGATTTGTTAAAATGTTCTTATGAATCATTTATATATCATAAAAGGGTACTTTTCATATAATTGTTAAATAATTTGGGAATGAAAGGGTTAAGAGTACTTGTTCTCTATTTATATGCAATCCACTACACATATTTGAAATGAAAGTTACCTTGTATTTTTTTTACTGTATACATATTTTTTTTAGATTCTCAATTCCCTGTGCGTGCTGTGATCTTTCATGTTATTTAAAATCCGTAGTCGATCCATAAAATATGAGTACAGTATCGAACACTCATGGATTATATTCAGAATGCAGCGTTACCATGTCACGTATGTTATCTTTCGGTTTAGGTTTTCCACCAATCCCTTGCGATGCTCACCGAATACACGATCAAGCCCTCGAAACTGGAAAATCAGCCGATAATAGACGGCCAGTGTCATGTGGATTTCACAAGCTCAGGATCTGGTATGGTGTTATATTAAAGTTCACCTTGTGTTCATACTCGTTGTATCGACGTATCAGAATACACGAAATTCTCATTTATGAATTATCGAATATTAATTCACCGTTCCAGCGAATTCAGTTGGCGAGACGAAATGCTGCCAGAGTCTGGGTGTTCCATCACGGTGGTCATACTTCAATCGTTACAAATTCGTATTTCTGGCGGAAATCCTGCTCGCCATATCGATCGTCTGCTTCGCTGCGTCCGTAATTTATTTAACAGTCGCATCGGGTTCGTAAATATTCAATAATTCAATTTATTGTTATGCTTACCGCCTATAAGATTACTGTGAATATTAAAACAATCTGTACTAATGGCATTATGGAGGTTTAGATAGAAGTACATTTATTAAGCCATTTGTACCTGCGCCTAGATACACAATCGACATAATTTTTTCAAAATAAACGACTGCTCCAAATTTCCAACAGGTTACTTCTGCGAACCCGAACAAATCGACAAAGTACATAGATCATATAGATCAACGATCAACGACTCGACCCTGGAGAAACAGATCCAAGAGTCAGATCGACAACGCCTGTACCGTTTCTTCTACAAAGATAATTCGTCAGTCGTAAGGCCCGAACTGGAATGGATATTATCCCGAATAAGCCAGAATCGTCAGAAACGTGAGACGGAGATCCCCTGCAAGCTGCAGAACATGCAGTACTGCAAGACACTGATCGATTTCATGAGGCAAATCGTCAGTATCGCGAACAACAGCATGCCATATTTGCAGGCGTTACAGATGGACACGAAAGACGAAAAATCGAAGTTCATGGAGCTGTACAACTGTCTTCGTTGTAAAAACGACTCGATAACTTTCGTCGATGAGTCTGGCCCCGAGAACGTCGAGAACGATCAACGGGTTGTGTACTCGGATCAGGCTCAGTTCCAGAATAACATCGACGTCGTCACCAAATTATTGGACGATAAATCGAACGATAATAATACTCCGAGTGTGAGCGATTCGATGACTAATATAGATGAAATTATTCGAGGATCCACCCTGTCGGTTCTCGATGACAACGGAAAGAACGATTCGTGGCAAACGAGGATAACGGAAGTCAGCACGATCACGGTTGAAATGACGGATGACAAACCGATGTTCACGGAAGCAGAGGCGATTAATGCAACAACGAAATCCTCGTCGACGTCTGTGACGGAAGAGTCAGTGAATCGATTAAAGAGAATCGATGATGTAGAGCAGTCAGTGGCTGCCGTGAACGTGACGGCTGTGTCAGACGGTCGCAACGTGACAGAAATCGCAATCGACACGGTGCATCCTTCGGTGCATCCTTCGGACCAAGGTCACACGGAACAGAGTACGTCGAAGCAGGAAACTGTAAACGGTAGATACATTATTTATTACTTGCACGACGTATTTGAATGGCGAAACTGTCGACCTGGCTTGCACTTGGCAGTATTGAAATTTTCATAGTTCAATTTTACTGGGTGCCGTCTACAGGTAGCAAAACATCTTCATGAAATCCTTAAACGAAACTAGACTCTTTTACTTTTGTACCTCCTTATCACTGTTTTGAAATTCTTATGTGAAATATTATTGACTGATCGTTGAAAAAATAAACGGTCCTTCACACTGCAGCAAAATATTTTATCTTCTTTTATGTTAAACAATTTTCCTATTCAATGTAGTTATACATAATAAAACCCAATTTTTCGTATCTTTAATCAATAAACTCTCTTGAAATATTTGTAAAAAGTTAGACTTTTATAAATTCAAATTTGTGCCATCTATATAAGGCTAGAAGGAACTGTTATATACTCACAGATACGAAAAAATAAATGATACTAACATTTTATTTCGTAATTTAAAGTACCTACCCATATGGCAACAGTGGGGACGAAATGGTTAAAATTCCAATTGAAACGCAAGCCGTACCCTAAATCAAACTTCAAGATCTGACCTAATCAATTTCAGATCCAAGAGATTCGACGACTTCACGTTCCCAAAGGATGCAAGAAGCTCGGAGGAGGATCATCCCGGCGGAACAATATCTGACTACCAAAAAGGACGTCTCGCAAGTGATCATCCCTACTGCGGAGACGATAAAATCGACACAGCAGCTGCAATTGACTCCGACGATGTCGTGGATGCCTTACCAGGTCTGCTTTTACGGGCCACCACCTGGTGGTCCTGGACAGCAATCTGCTCCCGGTCAGATGATGTACCCAGCAACGTCACCAGGTACTTCGTACCCAATGCCACCGCAAAGAGGATACCAAAATTCTGGCCAACCGCCGAACTTCGTGCAGGTGCAGGCGCAAACGGTGCAATTCCTGCCGCAATCACAACCAGGGAATTCTGACCAACGAATGGGACCATCAGGCCCCGAAACGCAAAATTTCCCGATGTTCCCAGGATATCAGCCATCTCCCAGCAGCGGAGCTGGGGTACCTGGAAAGCCTCCCTATTACTGCACTTACATCCCTGCGCCGACCTTCCAATTTCCACCTATTCCTGGAGTCTCGGAATATCAAAGATCATCCGACTCTGCTGAGAAAAACGACAGGACGAAAGAGGACGATAAGGTGAACGGATTGGATAATCAGAAGTCACTGATGCCTGGTGAGAAATGAAGTATTTACGAATAAATGTCATTCAATTGTGATTATGGTTGTATTTTAATTATTTCACCGAGAACGAAACGTGGAGAATGGTAAAATGACGGTGATTCGTGGGAAATATTTTAAGTTCATTGATTTTTAGATGGAATTTTTAGGTCGATTTGGTTGTTAATGGGTGATTTTTATTTGTATCGCGACAGAGAACTATGGACTGTGTCCCTTTAATACAATACGATGCCGTGACGGTAGGCGATGTATATTGAGATCGCAATGGTGCGACGGTCAGGTGGATTGCTATGATGCCAGTGACGAAAGTATGTGTTCCTGCAGGGAACGTATATCTCAGGAGAGGCTCTGTGATGGGTACTTCGACTGTCCTCATGGAGAGGACGAGTTAGGTTGTCTGGGTAAGTTTTCAAACCTTTGGAAATCTCGCGTTCTCAATCTTCAAAGTTATGGAATATTGAAATTCTCGAATATTGGAATTTTCGGACTCCTTAATTCAGAAATCTAGGACTCCAGATTTATAGTACTTCAGAATTCTAGAAGACGAGAAAGATACAATTCTCTACTACTCTCCACATCGTAGTAATCTAAAGAAATATAATCGATCAATTTTCATTTAATCTCAATAAAACTCTAGTTATCATGTAAATATTGTACGATAGAATCCTACTGCATCGACCGAGTAGCAAGTAACACTACGCGACATCTAATCAATACAAAATTATCAAATATTGGCATGAAGTGCAGACGATACAAGTTACATACTGAGGATTACAATTCTTATTACAGAAATGTTGAAAATAAAACGTGAATCATAGAACAGAATTAGATATAGTGTCGTAAAGTCCAACGTGCTTTCTGCAAGATGGCACCAGGTACCTACCGCCGTTCTATTTTCTCATTCAAGAGCTCTTTTATCAACGGAACAGTGATTGATTTTTATGATTTCTTATGGAAAAAATTTTTTATTTTTCTGTTTTATTATGTAATGTTTTTTCAGGTTGCCCGAAAACATCCTTCAGTTGTAATGACTGGCGCACACGGTACACCGTTAGCAATTGTGTCCCTCTTTCTCAACGATGCGACGGTATTACGCAGTGTCCGAATGGAAAAGACGAAATCGATTGTAACATACTCACACCCACGTACCTCGAGGGCAGAACTGTAATGAACAATCCAATTTGCAATTTATCTACGTAAGAAACTTGAATTAATAAACAAACAACTTTATGATCATTAGGTATTCACTGTTGGATACACCGAAGGATATCTTCACAAAAATTACAAAGGCCAATGGTATCCTGTCTGCTCATCGATAGATTCGTGGGCAGAGGACGCCTGCGTCTCTGAGATTGGATCGGAAGTGAAGTATGTAAAAGGATACCCAAAAATTTAAATAATTTCATAATTAATTACACTCCATTTTTAGAATTTTTCTAAAGCATCCCCTACAATTCTTGTAATTCTTTCTGCACTTCTGGATTTATTGCAACCCAATTGATATACCGAATGCAGTTTTCACTAAATTACTTTTAAAAACTGAATAAGTTTACTTTATGCTAAGCTTGTACTTATTTTTTTGGATCGATCAACAAAATGGCAATTAATTCTCATTATAGCGAGAAACCAGAAATAAAAATCCACACAGTACCGGAGAACGCGTATCAGGGCCCCTACGTGGCGCAGACGAAAGAAGGAATAAAGCTAATCCCATCGTGCCTGAACACAGCGGTCTACGTACGGTGTCCACGCTTCCCCTGTGGCACCAGAGTCTTCACACGTCAGGATTCCTTACGACCGAACGTCTTGGAGAACGAGGACCAACGTGCTACATCGTCGTTCAACACGATTGTGGAACAATTTTTCCGAAACGGTTCTAATGTCGAAACCAAAGACAATGAAATTAACAAGGAAAACGACACAGTTAGCTCGCAATTACGCGTGGTTGGTGGACGCGCGAGTCAACCGAAAGCATGGCCGTTTCTGGTGGCCATTTACAAGGATGGGAAATTCTACTGTGGTGGGGTTATCTTGAACGAACTGTGGGTCTCTCTGATTATTGATCCGTCTACTTCATGAGATATTACAGTAATTCTTAGGAAATTGCCCATTTATTTTGCAACTGTTTAAAAGACAATTAGAAAGTATGGATATCTTTATTCTGAATGTTATAGAGAAAATCTTCTTGGAATTCGTTAAGTTCCTAGAAGTTCCTTAATTCATTAAATTCCTAAGTGTTCCTTGAATTCCTTGGAATCCTCGAAGTTCCTTAACCCACTGACGCCCACAACTGAACCAACACGACCACAGGGTTTATTTGCCATTTTTGGCACTATTACATGAAATATTCACTTTTGTCACAGTTCCGTAGATTGCTTAGGAAAAATAATAACTTGACTTCATTGGGTTAATATTTTACGTCAGTACATTTAAAAATATTAAATTTATAAATGTTTTATTGAAACATGACAGTGCATTCAGTGGGTTAAATTCATTCGTGCATTTCGGAATCCCATTTTTTATGTTATTAATTGCTATTACAGTCCATGGTTGTTAACATGTAATATGGTATAAACATAGATACATGGGCCACTACTTCGAGATTCAAGCAGGGATGCTTCGTCGATTCTCCTTCGCCCCAATGGCGCAATCGAGGAAAGCAAGATACACCGTGATCCATCCGCAGTACGACAGCAACGATATGAGAAACGATATCGGAATGATCATGCTGGACGATCCATTGCGTTTCAATCGATGGGTGCGACCTGTTTGCCTACCGGAAGCGAACATCTTGGGCAGCATGTGGAGACACAAACCGGAAGCTGGCTCCACCTGCATTGCGATCGGATGGGGAGCCACCAGAGAATTTGGACCGGATCGTGAGATATTTTCTTCTTAAATAATAATAATAATAACGACTTTGCAATATTCATAGAATTAATGATAACAACTACGATATATTTATCATCAATGGCATATTGAATTGGCCAAAAATTAATGGATTTCTGCGGTAAACGATGTCTTTTTTTTATTTCAATAAATTAGGATCAGTGTTTTGCATTGAAGAATAAAAACAAGCATCATCTACCGCAGAAATTCGATATTAATCAAATGAAAGATTGTATTAAAGAAGTAAACTGGCAATGAGAAATGAACTCAAATAAAACAGAGACATCATTCGATTGATATACAGCTGACCACCTGAGGGAGGTTGAGGTGCCAATACTGGATAATTGCAAGCATGAAATAGATCAGAACGAAGCAGTGATTTGCGCAGGCTACCCTGAAGGTGGTCGCGACGCCTGCCAGGGAGACAGTGGTGGTCCTTTGATGTGCAAGTGAGAATCGATCAACTAATTACCTAGAAAAATTATAACTTAGTACACACAATCGTTTTACTCATGGAAATTGAATCATGTATCTCTGTATCGTGGTGGATCTCAAATATTTCTGTGGATCGTTTGCAGAAATCCGTATTCAGAATCGCAGTGGTACGTGGCAGGCATTGTCAGTCATGGTGAAGGCTGCGCTCGACCAGAAGAGCCGGGTGCTTATACCAAAGTCAGCCACTTCCAAAACTGGATTCGAGATATTTCTAGTGAGTCCTCCAAAGTGTCATTTTTTAACCAAAAAAGTGCCCGAAAAAAATCGGCCATCCTGAACACGTTGTGTAATTAAATAATATCTATCATAGAAGATTGCATCATCGATCTATACTCAACAACCACCATAAAGCCTGTGTACCATCATAAACCCTCACTGTGGTGTTTTACATTAATTTAATAATAAATTATACTTGTTAAGAATTCTCAAGAACAATCGTTTTTTCCATTCCAGGTGGTCAACGTATGCCTCCCCTCAGACGAACACCTTTAGAAAAGTGTCCAGGTTTCAGCTGTGAAGGGGGTCTAGGCAAATGTTTGCCGATAGAGGCTCGTTGCAATCGACTAGTGGATTGTTTAGATGGCGAAGACGAGCTCAATTGTCCTGGCAATCTAAAATATCCCTCATACAAACAATTAGGTGATCCTGGGAGTGAGATTAATTCTGTGGAACTTATGAATGAGACATCGACTGTGACTGACGAGATTTTAACCAGTGGTAAGTCACTCTAACAATTATTAATCTTTAATCGCTCCTTTTTTGCTTATAGTGCAATTTTTTCTCGTAGATACTGAAATTCCTGATGTCACCACCCAGTCAGCATCTATCGATGATCAAACTATAGAGTTTGAAATTCTAAAATCCACAACGGAGTATTTTATCGAGGAAAATAATGAATCATCATCAATGGCACCGATAGAGGCCCGTACGACATTCACGTGTTCGAGGTGAACTTCGCCTGTTTTTAATATATAATTAACAATGTTTTTAATTAAGCTCGTCATGTCATATTTTTTTTCGGGAATCAACAGGTTTCTGCAAACTATTCCGATAAATAAACGATGCAATAGAATAGTAGACTGCGAAGACAACACCGACGAAAAGAACTGTACCTGCAAGGATTTCTTACTCAACCTGAAACCGACCGCCATATGCGACGGTTACGTGGACTGTGACGACCAAACGGACGAGAAAGATTGCCGTAAATTATTTATATTAGAATATATAGTTAAGTTATTTAATTAGATAGTTAGATAATTAAATAATTTCGTGTTTCACAGAGATCTGTGCCGAGAACGAATTTTTCTGCAAGACCAGCAGAACCTGCATCGACGCGGCCAAGATGTGTGACGGAAATATCGATTGTGAATTCATGGATGATGAAAAAGACTGCTGTAAATTATGGATTTATAATACATTCGATGGATTTTGAAGAATGAATCGTCGAGTTAGTTGGTGAAATTTGTAAAACATGTTTCGTTTTATTTACAGTCGCGCTGAGTAATGGTCAACGCATGTACTTAGACGCGGATGGACGGCCATATTTGAACACGGAGGGTGTTCTTACGCGATTTGTTAATGGAAAATGGCGGCCCTCTTGCCAAGCTGCTAAAATACACCAGAATCAATCTACGGTCACGTTTATCGGGCAGAAAATGTGCACGTACTTCGGATTTGCGTAAGTCTGCTTTTATAGTTGTTTTTACCCAAACGATAAAAGCTTCCTACATTTTCATGGCTAACTATTTTGCCCGACAATAGAATACAGAATAGATTAACAAACAGGATATATGAATTCCTTGATCCTTTCAGTTTTTTTTATTGTGCATTGGAAGAGTCGGCCAAAAAACTATATAGGTCATGTCAGTTTGCTAAAACAGTGACATCTCAAAAATAGTACATTTTGAGATACCTGCAAATATTAACTCTAAAAGTGATTTGATCTAAAAATTGGATGAGATTTAATTCAATGACGAACATCTAAGCAATATAGTCATGGATATAAACATTGTCAAGGTTGTTTATTTTTTAATATAAATAGCGTCTACATAAACAGTATTTTATTAGAGACCGTCACAATCCAGAGACTATTAGCTAAATTGTAAAAGAAACGAAATTTTTTCATTATTAAATGGTTGAGTAATAAATAATCTTTTACCAGGAAAAATTTCAAACCGATTCCCTGAAAAATTATATGACACTTTTCTGGCAAGCCGTCATTTTCTAAAGTCTAAGTATCTAATCTCTCTTGAAGCACATTGCAACTTATATTCTAATAAAGTCATAAGAATAAATGTCATATATGTACCAGTGATTTCGAAATTATCAATCGAATTCATGAATCATGTAAATTCACTACCATTTATGAAATTCAACATACATTTTCAAACAGAAAACATAGGTGCTCCATTACCACTACAACTACCACTATTGAATGTTAAATTGTATAATACAATAATACGTATACAGAACATATAAGGCTATATGAATATATAGCATAATATACCATAAAATAAAATCTGTAGTAAATTAAAAGCCAACATAAATTCCATCAGAAGCATCGTTATAATTTCAGTAATGGTAAAATAGTAAGTTGGTAGTTCTAGTGTTACCGATATTCATTATTGTTCACATCTAACGTCATATGTATGTATGATGCAGAAGATTAATATGTAAGATAAATTTATTATATTAACATAGGAAATATTATTAACATAAAGGCACTGTTTGTCATACACATAGCAATTTGCAATCATCGAAGCCGATCAGCGTGAGGGACGCCGAATTAGAAACGGTACGTTGGAGCAAAGAGAGCGCAGCTTTTCACGATAGTCCGTCAGCGACCTCTCTGAACAGCGAAGGGAACACCTGTCTTGCAATCTATATGCATTGCAGACCGGTTCTGAGCGGCAGCAAGAGCACATATCGGATTGTGGACGCGGAGACCGGAAACGGTGACTACCTGTGGCCCTGGCTAACCGCCATCTTTGTCGACGGAAGCTATCGTTGTTCGGCTGTATTATTGGACAGAAATTGGTTACTCGCTGCCTCGAAATGCGTGGAAAACGTCAGGCAAGTTGAATACTTTCCAAATGTTAGGGTCCAAACGTAATTTCATAAAATTTACAACTTATAAGAACAAACTCTAATATTCTATATTTTATCAGAATTAATTTATTGGAGGTATTGATACGAATTTTCCAGGTTAAATACCAATTACACGACTGCTATGCTCGGTTATGGTCCATTGTTCCGTTACGTGGACGGTCCTCATCAACAGATTACGATCGTCGATGAGATACAACCTGTGAATGGTTCTGTGTCAGTTTTATTGCACTTGAAACATCAGGTGAATCTCACTCGTCATGTTCAACCACTGTTTCTCGAAAAGAAGTAAGTATATTCCCTGATAGCACATGACGCCCAATGACGGCTTGAAGACGGCTTAAAGGCGCCTTAGACATAAAATAGCCGTAAAATGGACGTCTTCAAGACGTCTTGTGCTATCTGTGTTGGAATCTGATTACTGATCTTTTTTAAATACTTCATGGAACCATCTGTGACTTAATTGTAGAATATATCTACCGGGAGTGAATGACACTTGCGTGGCTGTTGGAACCGACGAGGATCATGAAACGAAATCTATCTCTTTGCGACCGGTTTTGCAGAATTGTCAGAATTGCCAGCGATGCTTCGTTAACACATCGATCTCCGAATGTTCGGTAATTTTATCAATGAATAATGCTTAATAGAATTTTTAATATTATAACCCTGGCGTTAGAGTTTGATCCGACTATAAAGAACAAATAAGATAATAAATAACTTTTTGTACTTCGAAACGAATGTTTGACAATTGTTAATTCATTTCTATTATTCTTCAAGGAGAATAAAACATCAGATTGGAGTGGAACGATATTCTGTCTGGGTAAGAAGGGATGGTATCCGACAGCGACGTTCGAGGACGACAAAGGTCCCTGCGACTTCCGGAACGTTCAAAATTTAACGAGCATCGATCACATAAATCCTTATCTGATGGAAGCTTTGGGTACATTTCGTATAATCAAAAAACTTTCAAATGAATATAGAACATTGAAACTGAATATTATATAAATTATTCTAGATGGCGCTAGATCATCGATCGAAGCTTCCTGCGACGGTTTTCGGTGCCCTATTGGCCAGTGTATTCCGGAGAACCGAGTCTGTGACGGTGTTCCGGATTGTCGAGACCAAGCTGACGAGGATCCAGAATATTGCTCGAGAATTCGTGAGAATTGCGATAACAGCGTCGAGAAAGATGGTTGCAGTGAGTAACGCAGTGATAAGTTTAAATGTCGATGAATAGAGGTGTTACGAACGAAAGATCGTTTAAAAAAATTGATTCGATTGACAGATTTATTAAATATCGATGAATGTATAGACTGTTTGAGGTCGGAGCTACGCTGCGGAAATGGTAAATGCGTTGACAAAAGTGCATTCTGCGATGGGACCATCGATTGCGCCGATGGATCCGACGAGCCCAACATATGCACCTGTGCGGAGTACCTGAAACTGACCAATCCAGGGCGACTATGCGACGGAGTTCGTAATTGCTTGGACAAAACCGACGAATCGCCGGAATTGTGTCCTTGCAGAGACAATAGCTTCAAGTGCATGACGTAAGAATCATACATAATATTTATTTCAAAAGTAAAAGAACAGTGGTGTGCAAAGGTCGTTGGATAATAACTTGAATAATTATAATTTTATTCTGTAGAACAAGTGGCAGTGATACCTGTATTCCTCAAGACTTCGTTTGTGACGACAACAAGGACTGTATTAATGGCGAGGACGAATCAGTGTGCAGAAAATTGAAACTATCACTAGACAATAAGTAAGTGATTATACTACTCTCTATTCATTTAACACTAAACTACCAAAGATGATTGTGTTTCTATATCTATCGTGTGTGTAGAAAGGAGAGCTTGTTGAAAATATAAAGATCGATAAAATGACGAACATAGTTATGTATAAACTCACTGTTATCACATTGTAATAATGTTTATAAAAGTTTACGAACTAATCATTTTGACTGCTTTGGTAGTTCTAGTGTCAGTTTTGTAGAATTGACCTTTCTGATTTATATTGTTTAATTATAGTACCGATTCGGGTGAAGTGATCCGACGAAGTTACGGAGTGTGGCACACAGAATGTTTCCCAGAACCGATCACATCGCAGGAGAAAGCGTTCGATCTTTGCAAAAGCTTGGGATATACGTACGGAGAGATTAAGAACAACACTATGATCAGTGAAAAACCAATGGTCACTGCACGAGATAATTTTTACATGGTAAAAATAAACGATTGGACATGGATCACTTTAAGGGACGATAAACCATTGATCACTTTGGTCAAACCCGATGAAACTTGCCATCGTGCGTTCGTTACCTGTGCGTGACTGTAATTCCTCTATAAGATACCTAATATATAGATAAGGTTTAGTAACTTATTTCGTATTTATTCGAGAAATTAGTTTCTACGTATTATTTATTGAAAAACAAAAATGTGAGGAGATGTGGCTGAAGTATTATAATTCAATAAATATCCTCTGACAATTTCTACAAATATTTGTCGGCGATTTTTTCAGCGACATCAAGAATGAATCTGAAAAGTTACAAATTCATTCGAAAATAAAATAAGAGAAAGGGCTCCTAACGGATATAAATCTTAATAACAATTCTTCGATAATCTGATAAAGTTCTCAATAAATTTTCAGTCTATTTTCAAGATAATCCCACTTACTTACATCGAAAATGGTACCATTCGTAAGAATATAAGGTATACCAATAAGTAATTCACTATTTTCTTAAATCGGTACACATAATAACTTTGATAATTCAAGTCCAGAATATCCTATACGAATATAATGGTGATACGTGTGGGTACAATTTTTTCCCCAGAAATAACTGTAAACATTCAAAGTGACAGAACAGCAACTGCTATGACCGGTACCATGAAAATAATCTCAATGTTCCCTTTCCTTTAGTATTCCGATCGTTCGGATTAGTCACTCGGGGAATGTGAATGGGCAAGCGTTTTCCGTCGATCCGTCCGAAGGCAGCTCGCCAGGAGGAGCAGGGCGCAGTCGTTTACCTTCAACGACTGCGACCCCATTTGTAACATTCCTTCTGCCCCTTCCCCCATAAGTCCCCATTGGTTCTACGCTCCGCTCGAAAGTGTCCCGCAACGATCCACTACTTTTGCTTCCACGCAACGTTTCTTCATGTATCTATGTATGTATCTCTGTTCTTTTTTCCTATTTCTCTTTGTCGAACACCGCGACTCGGTTGCATAACACAGATTACGTTTTAATTTTAAGCAATCCGATCTAAGACCCTTGGCAATCAATTAATGTAGGAACCATTGGCGAATTATCTTTCATTGACAGGGAAGTTATTCACGAGCCAGTACTTCAACATTCGATTTGAAGATTTTAAAAATTTCTTGGTCCAAACTTAAACTGAATTAAATTTGCATGAAGTTTTTGTAATTCTTAACTCTTCAAAAACTGATTGAAAGTTCACATCTGTAAAAATTCAAATTTGTGTAAACTAAAATTTTATAGATTCCTGTAAACTAAACGTTAAATGAAACCTTTCATACTCGAAAAATGGACGCATTAGCTGAAGATATTAAACAGAGTAATTGTACGTTCAGAATAGTACAAATTGAAATTTGTGTCAACTAAAATTTCGTGTGTGATCTAAAATATCGAAAAGTGGATACATCAGTTCCAGGTATCAGAAAGGGTAATTGAACTTAAGTGTTACATTGTCTGCCTTCCGTCTGTCACATCATAACTAAAACTTTTTCGAAAGTTTTCCAAATGTTTAATGTTATTTTCGTCCTATCTTCCCCCATAGCTGCCCCGTAAAGACGGCATACGGACGCTGCAGAACGAAACGAAGTACCTTACGCGGTGAAGCGAGCCGAGTCAACGGTACTTCTCGGGTAACAAAATTACACACACTACTCATAGTGCGCCGCGTTGATTACATAATTGGCGCTTTGCGCACGAACTATCGGAAGAAAGGTTCGGTGCTGATAGTTCTTGGTCGGACGGCGGCCATCTTTGCGGTTAGAAGACAGCGCAAGGATCAGCGAACGCATCCGATCGTCTTTCTTTATTCATCATCGTTTTCGCGTAATCGACGCTCAGGAAGTATGTAATGCGATTCGAGATCACTGTACTCTGGATTATTTCTTTTCCAGTCGCGAAATCTCTGTTGCTTACGAAAGCAGTCGACGAGGAACAAATTTAATTACATCTAACAATAAGTTTGCTTACGCGACCAATTAATTTCATTTCGCGACAAAATTAATTCCATAGAGCGTTTTTCCAAGGCATGAGTTAGAAAACAATGTACTGGTTACTTCAAAGCAAGAATCAGCCAGGTGTGAATACGTTTTTCATCCACTTTAACAACCGAATCGTTTCGTCACCATTATGTCAAAGTTAGTCTGCATTCAATTAATTCCAATTAACGAGACCAAAATGGAATTAGTGCAAGGAAATCTTTTTTCTTCTGTTATTCGTCACTCTAGTATTTAGTCACGTTAACTTCTTCCAACGAGTTTCTTCCTGTAAAAACGCGCGATTTCGTTTTCTACAGAAAACGAGTGTCCGCCGTTTAAAACCGAGCCCGTTGCGCTTCACGCATAAAGACAGTTATTAACATGCAACATTTCATTTTTTTGTACACTGTTACAGCAATCAACCGTGTTCCGTACTTGAAATTGCTTCAGTGGAGAGTTTCGCTTGGGCATGAAATATCTTACAGCTTCCTAGATCCATATCCATGATTTTCCGGCATCACCGTTCGCCAAGCAGTTGGGCGAGTTAGCATTCGATCGAGTGCAAACATTCACGGATGATCGATCGATCATGCACGCATTCTTCTGACAATAATCTACGCTTTCACTTAAAATTAATATGGGATAGTGGTTTGAAGGTATTGGTACAGTTTCAGAATCCAATGTTTTAGTGACTTGTATTCTGTATTACATAGAATATCGTTTAGTTGAATCGATGTTGGACTCTGTAAGTGGTTTTATCCAGGTCACATGCTATGCTATACTGGTCTATTATTAAGTTCAAGAGATTTAAAATTAAAATCGAAAGACATGCAGTCTCCGTGGACAGTATAAGGATTTTTTCTGGTACCTCTTTAGAGGTCATGTTTCAGATGATTCGCGGAGAGGGAAGATTCCTCGAACGAATAATTAACCCACTTTAAATACTTTGCTCTAACATCCGATGGCCGTCATCTACAAGGCCTAACTTAACTACTTCTAGCAGATACGTGTAATGCTTAGACCCAGACGTGTTCTCAGTCAGTCTGATATTATATTGGGTTGTTCGAAAAGTCCATATTCTTCAATTTATATCATATTTTTATTTAGTAATATTTTTACGATTTCTTTCAATTTTTCAATTAATTTCCTCGTACCAATTAAATACAAGGGCGGATGTTTTGACTGAGAACAACTCTTCAACTGGCTCCTATAGATGGACCTTGTTTTCAAGATTTTCTGATGGGGCAAAGTCTTATTAATTGGGTAGACACTATAAAACTTTCCAGTCAAATTAATGTAATAGTTTACATGTTTGACAAAAATGTAATAAAAATAGACCCTGTGTTTATTTCTTGCACAGCAAACACAGTAACTTATCGATAAGTGTTCGAACGCTCCTCTGAACTCGACGTCTGAACACTCAGTGCCTAGGAGCCTTAGACCACTAATCGAAGATTTACTGTACATTCAATCCACACCTGGAATACAGTATACCTGTTCACCAAATCAAACGATTCTTCCTTTAACCAGTAACAAACGTAACAAATATACTGTGCTCGAAACCGTACGAACTTTCCAAACGACCCAATATAAAATTCATCGCCTATTATCCAAACGAATAACGATAGAAGAGAGAATCATGAACTCCTATTTTATTCAGGACACGTTTGAATAAACGGAATTTTACCGTAACGTCTCATCAGCAAAGCAAACTATCGAACCCTAGAGCAGTTCGTTAGCTCTTCACGGATCAAGATCATGAACTTCTCCGATCCTTATGAAGTCAGCCGCGTCAAGAATTCCACGGACGATGGTCATGCATGCATTCGTGATCGTCCAGTGGTCGATGAGATTACGGTATACGGTGGATCGCGCGCGCACGCCACGAGTAGGTGACAATGACGATACCGAAAAGGCACTATAAGTATGCTGAGGAGAGACGAGCAGGGAGCACACGATGGAGGCCGTAACACCGACCGGCAGGAAGCTGCCAAGTGTAACGGTATCGGAGCCTGACTACACTGCCAGCCAATGCGCGGACCGTTCACGCATCGTGAACGATTTCACGTCGTCGATGAATATAGGTAAGACGGCTTTTCACGTTGGGAGCTTTTTTCCCCCCTTTCGATCCGTGATGCGTGTTCGCCTTGCCACTCAGCTCGTTCGAAAGTTGATTCCTTCGAAGCTTCGAACTGGTACCACGGGAGAGTCTCCAATATGGCGGATGGACTGAAGACTTACGTAACACGGCTTATACGAAATTCGATTTAATTTAGTACTAATAATATTGTTTGGAAGTTCTGAATGAAGGTTTAATCTACAAAAAACTATTTACGATTTATGTTCCACCGGACACTTCCCAGATAGCACATGACGGCCGATGACGCCTTAAAATTAAAAAAATTGTTCATTTTATACATTTTAATGATAGATACCGCTTCTACGTGTTAGTAGAAGGTAATTGGTAATAGCTGGAAGAAATCTCGCCGAGTATTCTCTATGCAGGAATGACGGAAGTGTCCGAATGACGTCAGCTGGCTCACCTGGCTTTCAAGAACGAGAGGGTAATCACTGTAATTCGTAAGCTAACGTCTGTTCGCCATTGGTATGCGAAGTTTTTACTTTTCGTGAAACGAGTAGCCTGTAGGTTAATCGAGACAAATCGCGTTGAATTGGGACGGCATGCGGGAAGGTCGACTCCGAGGGAAATTCGTCGAAGCCTCCACATTTTAATAAACGCCGCGTCGGTCGAGTGGTGATTATATTCCCTGAACGTACCAAAGAGATTTCTACGATTTACGTGGTGCAGGCTGACACTCGATTACCATATTTTCTATTAAACAACAGGGAACGTGACATCTTTGTCAAGTTTGTTGACTCGAATACAGCGGAACCAATCGGGGAGGTCAGGTCCCGAAAACCTCACCTCAGGAAAAAAGCTTTATTATATAGTATTACTGTCCTATAATCTTAACGCACGGTCTACAAACTTATCTCGCTGGTGGTGCAATTATATTAAATTGCAATTACATTGAACTGTCAAAATTCAAATAGTTAGTCTACATTGTCCATTAGGTTAGTCAGAAACCATAACAGTTTTGC